CAATATAAGGAGTGCAGGCCTCAGGCTCAGAACTTTGGCAAGCAACAAAATCTAGCTAGAATTTACTAACACTGTTTTGCTTTTATGGTTACTTTCTATTTATGGCAAATGACACCAGTTTTCCATGTGTGGTAATGGAAGTAATATAAAATGTTCTTTTAAAATAAATGTATTTGAGTTTCAAAAGGGAGCCGATAGTTTAGAAAATCATAGTACACCTGCTATCCAGAACAGCAGAAATCACAAGGACAAGATGTGAGCAGCTGAAAGATGGAGAAAACCTCACCATCAAGTTGTTTTGTGGATACTGGCACTTTCTGCTGGCCAACCTCGTGGCCACGCTTCATCAGGAACTGTCTCCTCAATGGACCTCGAGGCACTTCCTTCCACTACAGCTTGCTCAGTTTGGAACAGAAAGGCCCTGAGATGTCACCAAGCCCAACCTCCCATCTCAGAGATGATGGCTGAAGCACAAGAAAGAGGTGACTTGCCTAAGGCTACCCAGAACGCGACAGCTGTTCTACCAATCGAATCCAGTCTACACATCCCCCGACCCTGCATGCTCCCTCTGCACCAAGCTGCTTCCATCACAGACATACCTCACATCGCGTTCACACATCATCACGACTGTTCCTTCTTGTATCTCAAGAGACTTCAAGCAATCCCTCCAGGTGGCCCAAGGCATCCACTACACGATTTGCAGTTACTTTACTTCTCTTATGTCCCTAGGAGGGCAATCGCTGTGCCCTTGGAGAGTCACTCGAGGCATTTTCGGTAGAGACTCCTTCTCTTGCAAAATCTCGATGAGAAAAGCTGCTGGAGGTTAGCCCCTTTCAGTGACGGTTCCCTGGATGCTCACTGAAGTCTCTCCCGTGCTAATTTAATGTCATCTCCCTCTGTCTGGTGCCCCATGATGTGCAGGATTTATGAGCATGTCTCGTAAAATTTAAGCATAGCAGGAAATTGAATTTGTCTGGGATATCAGTTACTGGAAAGCTCTGCTGGTTGCTCTGCTCCACACTACGGTTGCCGAGGCGATTGCGACTTGATCGTTTGATGACTTGTTCTAGGATCTTTCCAGGTATTGAGGTTAAGTTTAGACATCGACAAACCCAAGCATGAATAAAAGAGGCCTGCCGTTGCGGTAAGCAGACTGCAGGTCCAAGGAGAAAAGAAACATTTAACCTGAAGAGAAGAAGGTTCAGGAAAATATTGAAGGTCTCCCCAGGAAATATTGAAGGTCTCCCCAAGCTCAAGGACAGAGAACACAGACGCTGTGTTCAGAGTGGCCTCAAGGGGGCAGACTTCAGATCCATGGGTGGAAGGTGTAAGAAGATGGATTTCAGTTCAGTATCTGGATAGTTGGAGAAATAGACACTTGGGAAAGGGTTGGGAGCTGTTCTCCTAGTGATGGCTCTCAAGAGCTCTGGTGGGAGTTCTGGGAAAGGCATAGAACAGATTGTGAGATGCTTCTTTCAATGGCCGCTTTCAGAATCATTCTTCTTTCTAAGGAACCAAGTTTTGTTGCTTTTTCCAATTATTTTTCACAGCAGCTCACATTAAAAATAAATTATTATTATCCATGTTCAAAGGAGCCTTTCACACATATGACTTGGTAAGACAAATATGAATTTCACTCGAAAATAATATAACTGTAAAATAAGATAACATTTTCATTCAAAAATAAGATAATAACAGTAAGTTATCTCTTTACTAAGGCTTCATGCTAAGTACTTTACATGCTTTAAATCTCATTTAATGCAAATGTAATGAGATAATGTTGTGCAGAGATATTAAAGGCAAGCATTTTAAACCATTGTTTGGAAAGAAATCTACAGCCATTTCTCTGCTCAAGGATCACAAAGATGGAAGGACTCTTGTCTAAGCCAAGAGCAGGATGAGATTTTCCTAACCCAATCAGCTATGGGTGTTATCTGGCACCACAAAGCCTCACTCCTGTTCAAACATTTGTTAAGTAAATCCAAATGAGGGTTTTCCCCCCCCTATGTTTGGCAGGCAGGAAATGGCAAATCAGAGTCTTAAGGGATTGACAAAATATGTAATTAGACGCTATCAGTCACTGTAGAAGAGCCTGCTTTTTCTTGCATTAGATAAAAGTGCATTTAGTCAACTAAGGACTTTCCAGCTCAACTGAAACGTCAACTCTCTAAGGCTATAGGCACCTGTGAGGCCATAAGGCTGCCCAGACTCCTAATTTTCCCTACTACCTTGCACAGTACACGTCTTGTTATTTCACGTCAGTTTCTACATTTGCAAACTGGGGGAGCAAATTAAATGATCTATGAAACTCTTCCCCAGTCTAACTTTCTCTAACCTCTAACCCAATCATTCTAAAAGGAGGTCAGGGGAAAAGATTCTTGCTGAGAAGACATCTTGAAATTCCCTCCAGCTTGGAGAAGTAGCAGCAGAACAGAGAGCACGTGTCCATTAGTCAAGGTCAGTGGGCAAAGGTCCAGAACACCCTGTCTGACATGAATGGTCTTCCCTTCTCCATTTAGTATTTGTGGGTTTTTAAACAGGAGTTTCCCAAAATATTCAGTTAAATTCATAAGTGGCATATGTGCATATCTAAATACATGATCAGTCCATGTTTGTCTTAAAGGGTTTTCTTTGTTTTTTTTGTTTGTTTGTTTATAAGAAAGTTAAACAATATGCGTAATTATTCCATAGCTTCACAAATAGGAAGAAGGTTTCGAATGGCTTAGTTCCACAATTTGGGTGGATGTGTATTTAAAGAAACATTGTTGCATAACAGACACTGCCTCTTCCTAAAATGCATCATACCAGAGCCAGTTTTGGAAAACACAAATATGGGGTGGGTATATTTTGAAAGCTGTGTGAACAAAATAGATTCTTAATTAGAATTTGTGGCTTTTACGGGAAATATTTGTTTTTTAAGGCATCTATCTTGCAAAAAGACCATTTCTGCTATGAAGGAAGTTTAAGGGGACAGCTAGGTTAAATTGTTTCTGAGCTTTACTTCTAGAGTAAATGTCCAACTTACTTTCATCCTAAAATATTTTATTATTCTAGTAGAGAATAACAATATATTTTCAGCTATGAAGTAATTCATAAAAACTTCACTTACAACATATAGTTTTGTGGCATTTACATATGCAAAAACTTGTTCACATTGATGATTATATCGTTCGATTCACACCCCAATGGCAGTGACTTCGTTCTCGCTTTAGAGATGAAGGAAATTGGGTTCCTTCTTTGTGATTCCCCCTAAAAAGTGAACTAGAAAACTCCAGGTCAGGTGAATCTGGAGCCTGGAAATTCCAATTCTGGTTGTGGTTCTCCTGTCCTGTCCCCCACTTATGTTGGCAGGCGGTGATGCAATACAATAAGAACATTCAAAAATAGGTCTTAGATCAGGAGGACCTGGGTTCAAATCCAGCTTCTGGCACAGCCTGGCCATTGCCTGGGGCAAGCTATTTTCCTTTTTGAATGCCATTTATGAACTAATCTAAAAATAGCTCCCCCCCATGAGACTGCAGGAAGCATTAAATAGAATAATGCATGAAAAGTACATAGCAGAATGATCCATAAATGTTAGCCATTGTTATATTATTATGTAATCTACAAAGCATGTTTAGTTACACTGCATGAAATACTTTCAGTTTTCCAAAGACACCACTAATACATGGGAAATTCAACCCTGAAAATTAATTTCTTTTTAGCAGTAAAGTCATATGCCAGATGCAAAGGATAGTGTTTCATGAACAAAGACCTCAGTTTTAAGGCTTGCTCTTACTTTTTCTTTGATGGGAGAAGGATCTTTCACTATCTGTAGCTTCAAAATGTTCTTCATGTTCATGTTCTCCATTCATAATCATTTGAACTACATGAAATTGAAAGGTGTCAAACGGAGGCAATTTCTTATGGCTCCACCCAACAGATTAACAAACTATCCAGCAGATTAAAGGATTCTTTTTAGCTGCACTGGGATTACTGCAGATATTGTTTCTGGAAGGAAAGTCAACCCGTTCTCAAAGCAAACCCCAGTCCAACGGATGAGAGGGTGATGACACACTCCCAAAAATGAAAAGCAAAGGCACAGGGCTCGCTCTGTCCCCAAATACACGGAGACACCAGCTCCCATGAAATCCACAGGGGACAATGACAGAGGGCCCATGGGCGTTACAGTGGGCACCGAGGAAGCCAGCAGCTGCTGCAGTCACCTCCTAGGGTCTTGCCAAATGTCTGAAAGGGAAGGTACCGAATTACTGAGGGACGGGGCGGGGGGGGGGGGGGCAGGTTTATGAGAGCTTGGTGAGGGGTTGCGGGTGCCTGGATGGGGACACCCGCGTCTGGCGACTCTGCCTGCCCCCAAGTGACCCGGTGTGTTTACTTCCTTCGGCGCGTGTCATTACGCCTGGGTGCCTGGGTTTCTGGCCTCGTCTCTTTGGGGCAGGGGCTCTCGCCCTTGGCTTCTGGAGCGCGCAGGTCGGTTGGGGAGGGCGTGTGCAGTGTCTGTGGCTCGATGAGTCTGAGCACGTCTGGGTGCGTTTCCGCCTGTGAGTGCTGTCTCGGTGGGCGCTCCGGTCTCCCTCCGCACGGGGATGTCGGTTCCCTCTGCCCTGAGACCTCGGGCGGTCCGGGTCCAGGCGCACAG